TATATAAGTCCCCAGCTATAATAGTGTTGCAGTCAATATCTTTTTCTAGCTTACTTAATAGTTGCATTATAAATGCTGGTGCTCCTGTGTTGGGCACATATATGTTTAGGATGAGTATTTCTTGTTAATGGATTGAAACTTTTATCATTATATAGTATCATCTCATATTTTAAAAATTTTTAAAGTTAACATTAAAATTTTTAAACTTAAAGGTTGTTTTGTCTGATATTAAGATCACGACTTCTGCCTTCTTTTGTGATCCATTCATCTGGAAATTCATTTTCCGTCCTCTAACTTTGAGTCTGTGTGTGTCCCTTGTGGTGAGATGAGTTTCCTGGGTGCAGCAAATTATTGGGTCATGGTTTTTTATCCAATTTCCCATTCTGTGTCTTTTCAGTGGTATGTTTAGTCCATGTTCAGGCTGATTGTTGAAATGTGATTTTTTATCCCTGTCATGAGTTGTTTTTTTTTGAGTTAGAGTCTCACTCTGTCACCCAGACTGGAGTACAGTGGCCACTCCTGGCCACCGCAGCCTCAACCTGCTGGGCTCCGACGAGCCTTCTGCGTCAGCCTTCTAAGTAGCTGAAACTACAGGCGCGCGCTACCATGCCCGGCTAATTTTTTTGATTTACTGTAGCGATGAGGTCTCGCCAAGTTGGCCAGGTGGGTCTCAAACCTGCGGGCTCAGGCAATCCACTCACCTCGGCCTCCCAGAACATGGGATTACAGGATGAGCCACCGAGCCCGGCCATGAGTTTCTTATAATGTTTTTTGTTGTTTTCTTTTAACTTTTGGGTTGGTATATGAGTGCTTTCAAGTTTTCATTTGCAGTGTATTCTCTGTTGATTCTTTGTTCTGCTGTTCTCTTAGGATATATGTGGTCATTCTTTTTTTTTTTTTTTCCTTTCTTCTGTGCTTACTACCTTCTTAAGCATCTCCTGTAGAACTGGTCTGGAAGCTGCATTATCTCTTAGGGATTGAATTTCTGGAAGGATTTTACTGCTCCATTGCTGAAGAAGCTGAGCTTGGCTGGGGAGGAAATTCTTAGTTGAAATTGTTTAACTTTGATGACCTTGAATATTGGACTCCAGTCCCTTCTAGCTTGTAGTGTTCCTGTTGATAGGTCTGCTGCTATTCTGATTGCTATCCTGGTAGGTAGTCTGACCTTTCTCTCTTGCTGCCTTTTGGAATTTTTCTTTTGTACCTACTTAGCGCAGGTGAATTACTATGTGTCTAGGGATTGGTCTTCTCATTTGATGTCTTGTAAGGGTTCTTTGTATCTCTTGTGTTTGAATGGTCACATCTGTGGTGAGATGGGGAAAGTTTTCCTATGTAACCTCCTGGAAATATTTGCTCCAAGGTGTTCTCTGTTTCCTTTTCTTCTTCTGGGGTACCAATCAGGTGTAGGTTCAGCCTCTTGATATAATCATACATCAACTTTCTATTCTTATCTGATCAGGGTTCTGAACTTGTTTTATTTTGAAATAGGATTTTGGGTGGGAAGCTTTGCTGTGTCTTGTAATTTTGAAAGTCTAATAAGGTGAAAGACAGGGAGCTAGGGTGTAGAAACTATTTGTAAATTATAGTGTTCACAGATTGTTGTATGGGTTCCCTGTAATCTAATCCCCACCACCACTCTATATGACAGTGCATTGGGTCCATGTGTGTACTTCGAGTCCAAGATACAGTAACAGCAGTGAGGAGGACAGGGAAAAGTAGAATAAAATACGATGGACAAAAATTTAAAAAAATAAAAAATAAACACAGAAAAACAAAAGCAGAAAAAGCAAAAAAACAAAAAACAAAAAAACAGCAGACACACACAGAGAAATTAAAACCAAAACAAACAAAAAATAAATAAAATGAAAGAAAAAACAGGAAAACTGAACACATACACACACACCCAACACATAAAGAAAAAGAGAAAAGGAAAAAAAGAATTCAAATCAAATCCTCACACATACATTCACACACACAATTAAACTAAAAAAAGGAAGAACAAAACCTGAAAGATGAACACTCAGATCATTCACTACACACATAAACAGAAAACAAAAAACAAAAGAAGAAAGAAAGTGGGAGGAAAAAAACCAAGAAGAAAAAAACAGGTGGTGGTGGGGGGGCTTCAGATCAAACCCTCACATGTGCACAAAGGAAAAAGAAAAAAATTAAAGAAACAAGCAAACCAAAAAACAAGCTGCCCTTTTGTGGCAGGTTCTGTAATTGTTCTTCTCAGCTGCTCACAGGTAAGCCCCTCTGCTGTCTCTGTGGAACTGTGGCCTCATTCACAGTCTCCCCAGTGTCCAGCCTGGGAAGGAGGAGGAGGTAGTGGGGGATGGGTGTGGCTTCAGTCCCCCCTCCCACTCTTGTATGGTGGGAAATCCCCTCGGGTGAGGAGGTGCGGGATTGTCTCTTCCCTAGGCGCTGGCGGAGGGCACCCAGCCAGGCTTACACTGGAGTAGAGTCCTCCTATCATGGCTGACATCCAGCCTCTGCCTGGATTTGTCCCTCTCAGTTGTGTCCCAGCCATGTGGGTCTGACATTCAGAGAATTGATGGGGAGGAAGGAATTGGGTCAGTCCCAGAGTCATCGCTTCTAGGGTCTTACTCATCCTTTTCTGATCACACCCTTTGTCCCATGGCTGATTCAGGGCAGGGGTGGGATGCCTGAAACTCAGCAGTTGTCCTGTCCCTCCAGAGTTTGTGCTTTCGAGATGGTCCCTCTGGTCATAATCAGCCCCTTAGTAGTTAATTTGCCGGTCACAGGGATTGAGTCTGTTGGTCCGTGGTGAGCAAGCCGAAACATTCTCCTGCCCAGCTTTCAAGATGGTGGCAGGGTGCCTCTTTCGTCTTCTACAGTGGGGCTCTGCCTCTGTTCCCTTGCTGTGCTCCCTCTACAGGCCTTGCTGACTGTGTCCAGTAGTCATTCTTGGCTGCTTCTGGGAAGGGCTCTGCTGATTTTTTTTTTTTTTAATGGTGCTTGGCTTCTTCTCCCGGGAAATGCTAGGGTCCCAGCAGAACAGCTGCAGCACCAGCCACTTCTCCAGGAGCACCCTGGCCACTTGCTCCCAAGTCTCTACCCAGTCAGCCACTCACACGTCCACTTACTCATAGACACGTGCCCCACATTTTCCATGCAGTCACTCACACAGGGACTTGCATAGTCCAACTGGCTCTGTCACCATCTTCCTGGATCATGAATATATTTTTCATTTCAAACCTTGTTTCTTCCCTGTTTCTGAAGTTTATGAATTTTTTATAGGAGATGATGTACTTGAGAAAATTTAAAACTTCATATCCTTAGGGGACATTTTATAATTTTCTTTAGTAAACATGCTTGTTATCTGATAAAATTCTTATAATTTTCACTGTTACTTACTAATGCTAATTATAAATTAATTTCCCATTAATTCTAACAGGAGACCTTAGAATAGTCATTTTAAGGAGCAGATTAACACAATTCCTCCGTATTTGACATTAGATGTATATTACATATTTATGAAGGAACACAGATTTGCCTTCCAAGCCTGTTTTGCTAAAGTTCTCATGGGTTTATATTTTTTAAATCCTGGTTAACTAACGGAGGGTTGAGTAACATTTTAACATGTAGTAGAAAAACTCCTGCTATCTGAGTGAATCACTAACATCTTTGCTTCTGTGGTGAAACATGCAGTTTAGCACCTTACCCACATAGTGATAGTATCACAGGCCTGTGTCTCCACTTTTATTTTCTCCTTTGCAAACCGTGTTCATGTGCCTACTATTCTCAATGGAAGGAGTGGTTCTCAGTGTATATTTGTTGAATGAGTAGAAAAATTATCATGGTGTTGATGGAAGGATCACATTTTGTACCTTCTCTCCCATCTCCAGCTTATTTCTATGCCCAGAGTATTGTGACTCATCAAATTAAAAGTATTTTTCTGATTTGTAATTTACATTTCACTGTTTGCCTCCAAACACCTCACGGATACACTTAGGGCTTACCAAACATAAGAAATGCTTAGAAGGGTACAACCTAACTTTGAAGAGCTGTAGGTTTCTTCCTATCATAGTCATTGGTTAATGAACATTTCCCTTTAGTCACCATGCTTTTCCAAACCATAATATTAATAGCAGCTGAAATTTATTAAAAACATATAATTTCTCAGAAATGTTTTTCCTAAGTGACAAAAAGTTGACGTTTTTAGCTCATGTGATTCTTTCAAGAACCTAGTTAGTCTTTTTTTTTTAAATTCCCATCTTCAACATGAAGAAGCAGAGACACAGATGGAAGAACTTGCCCAAGCCTGAACAACAGGCAGCGTCAGAATTTAAACCGGGTACTCTGCCTCTTCAGTCCGTGCTCCTGACAACCATACTCCTCTGCCTCCTTAGCAGCAAAAAAATCTAATTTCACTGTGGCAATTAGATAAAAATACATGCACAGTTTAGCACAGATCCTAAATCATAACTCATAACCCCCACAATGGAAAAGGCAATTTTGCCATTTTTATCTACAAAGAATGATATTAGTAGCTGTTAGAATTTCACTTTATTCCTTTTGGCCACATACAGTAAAAATGACTTAAAAAGTAAAAGGATTATCAGAACCAGTTTAATTATTGGACACTGCCCCCTATTAATTTTAATAAAGGGTAATTTCATGCATCTATATTATAATGGCAACGTAAAGAAAAGAGAAAACAAGAATCCTTGTCTTTTAAGGTTTGCAGTTTGATTTGAACAAGGTAAATGCATGAATAAATAGTATGTGTGTAGTATTCTATGGACCTCACAATTATCTGTTATATATAAAATAGATATTTTAATATTTTAATTTTGTAAAAACAATATATAATATAATTTTCTTTCAGGTTATGAGTTCATTAATCATGTCATCTTGTATGTGTTTAAATGATGTTGATAAATTACTACAAATGATTTGGTGTTCTATGTAAGTAATTCTTTTGCACTTTCTGCCTCAATATATTCCTGTCTCTTTTTTTTTTTTACTTGTATCAGAGTTGTCATGATGAGGAAGATGATGAGGGTGAAGAAGAAGTGAAGAGTTTTGAAGTAAGATCCATCTTTCTAGATTTGTCTTTTTTCTATCTTGGAACATTGTTTCATAGCTTATAACTGACATTTATGTTTCTTGCTTCATGGCTTATTGCAGCTTATTGTGTCAAGGAACTGCATGTCAGAGCTGGATGGACAAACCTGAGTCCTAACATTTGCTCAAGTTAAGACCAAGGAACATAGAATAGTGAATTAATGAAATAAAGCCCATATGTTCAGAATGAGTGTTCCTGAGAGCCCTCAGAGATGAGATGGCTTCAAATTATTCTCATCTCAGTGATGTTGTGTTCTGGAATTTCTAACAGACATGTGAGGAGAATGTTTACTGAAGAGCAACATGATATCAAGTGTTTAATTAAAACCTTGGTTTGGCATTTTTTCCCTGAAGTCTGAAAGATTTGGCCTCTTTCGACTTCCGTCCAACTAGGTCACTCATTCCATGTACATATGTAGATAGTGGCACATGATGAAATTTGCTTGCATGAGGTAGGGGGGCATATATTTCTAGGACTGTATTGTACTTAATGATTATTTCCTCAAATGTTCTCAGCCTTTAAATATTCCAAATAATTTGCAATGCTGCTTAATATTAACTAGTCAGAAGGAAAGTTGGTATTATTTCCCCCTTTTGCTTATACTGTACTTTTGCTGTTTATAAGAAAAGCTAGTTGTTGCTAACTACCACTCTTCTTATTTATTTGTTCCTTTTTGTTTGTTTGTTTTTGTTTTTAGAATTTTCCAACAGAAACTAAGTGGAAAGAAATAGAAATTAGATTTTTTTTTTCACTTTAATTTACGTGTCTGCATTTAAAGCTAGAAGTCTGAAAATATATCAGTAGCCAGCAATGAGTCTTTAATTAAAGCGGGCCCACAAGAATGTACAGCCAAGGAGTGAGTGCAGGGCATTGTCCTTTCAGAAACAATTTGATATGAGCATCTCTGCAGCACTGAAGTCAATGTGCCAAAAATATGAAAACAACCTAATTCGGGGATAACCTGTGACTATTGCTGGCTGAGAAAAATGTCATAGGATTAATTTCCAATATGACACTATAATCTTTTCAAGTGTATGTATATTCTATTCTCAAATCCCTCTTTATTGATAAGAAACCGAGGTAAATTAGAATGAGCTGTAAGCAGAAAATAATAATTTTTTTTTCTGACGTGCACACCATTTACGGTCTATCGGTTGTCTTCAGAGCAATTGTTTATTGCTATTTTGCTTCTTGTCCTCATCCTTCCTTAAGGTCACAGGATCCCAACGCAGCAAGGTAAAACTATATATATGTGTGTATTTGTCTGGGTCTGAGTTTTGGTTTCTTGTGACATTTACCTTTGTTAGACCCAACATCTTCGATTCTTTTGTTAATAAAAGATCTTGGAAATCTTACTACAAGTTTGTAGCTCCATTGCAATTAGTCTCTTCAGTATCCCGTCCTTGACACAGGTTTATTCTTCTTGCAACTCATTTAATATGATGCATAATTAGAAATTTTATCCTCCATGTTAACCTTGAGCTGTAGGCTGTGCTGTAATAAAAGAGTCCAGCACTTTGGGTAATGAACTTTTAGCTAAAAAACTTTTCATGTTCAGTATAATGTGTTTTAACTTTATCCCTACGCCTCTTGAGTTTTTCTTTTTAACGCTAGTCTCATTACTTGAAAACAGACATGATAAATGATATTGCTGGTGAGAGTGGAAAGACATCTGCTTTTCCATTGCGCTGTTGTATCTTTAATTAGCAACTGGAGATTATGTTCCATGATTCCAGTATGGATTTTTGTCATTTCAGTAAAGGGAAGAACTAGATGACTATTTCCATCTCTTAATATTTTGAATAGCTAAATACTTGGAACATTTGCTGAGAGAAAACATTCTGATCTGGAACTGCATTTTTTTTTTTTTTTTACTTTGACATGGACCCTGATAAGCTTACATTTTATTTTAATGAGGCTATTTAGTAGGGAAATCCAGCATAAACATCTCCAGAAGACAGTACCCATAACAACTTTAGTTTTAAAAAAAAAAACTTTCAGTTTGTATTTGACTTTGTCTTCTATCTTTAAAAAGTGAAATATTTGCTGATAAAATGAATTTTTAGACTGTGCTAAAGAATCCATGAGAAGAAACAAACTCCAGTATGTTTAACTCACTCTTATGATAGGAAGAATGTATTTTTCTTATGACACACCATGATCCTCATACATTTTAAACCTTGAACTCATGCATATACTCTCAGATATAGCTCTGATCTGAGGACATAATGGCTAATGGCATATAATGGGCATAAAACTTAATAAGACATGTGTACTACAGCAATAGATGATGGGTGCAATAATAATTTGGTAGACTTTGGTTTTTTTATCACCAATTATCTCAGATAAAATTCCAGTGGATTGTTGAGGGATAAAATATGTGAAGGACCCTCCTAACATCAATCAAAGATTTGGTTTCCTAAACAGCATAAAAGTTAATGTAAAATATATTGATACTTGTATGATAGGGGTAAGGGAGAAGGTGTTTCTACTACTCTAGAAAACCATTCTACTTTAAAAGAGGGACATGGTTTCAGGAGTGTCAAATTTAGTGACATTAGAAAGGTTTCTAATTCAGGAAAGAAGTTTAAAAGAAAACAAGTGGTAGAATCAGTATTTGCCTCTAGGATTCAGACCAGTCTAAGGACAAAAAGTCAAATGAGTTATGCAGCCTGACCTGAGAGAAAGGGCTGCCTTTGGATTGAGAATGGTGGGCAAATACACATGATGGTGAAACCTGGCAAATAATCCCCAAATAGAAGATATAGACCAGGAGGTATGACTGCCCCAGTAAGAGACAGGCTTTTTTTTTTTCTTTTTGAGTTGGAGTCTCACTCTGTCGTCCAGGCTGGAGTGCAGTGGCATTCTCATGGCCACCACAGCCTCAACCTGCTGGGCTTAGGGGTTCCTTCTACCTTATAAGCCTTATAAGTAGCCGGAACTACAGATGCACACTGCCACACCCAGCTAATTTTTGTGATTTATTGTAGAGATGAGGTCTCACTAAGTTGCCCAGGCTGGTCTCGAACCTCCAGGCTCAGGCAATCATCTTGCCCCAGCCTCCCAAAGTGCTGGGATTACAGCCTAAGCCACCGCACCTGGCCGAGACAGGCTTTTAAAGTGCTGGGAATTGGTACACATTTATAGTGTAACACAATATACCAGATCTGGGGCTTTTCACTTCCTAGCTACTGTTACTGATCTTCATGTGGATTTGGCGCTATAACTTGTTATTTAGGTCTAATTTGTGTAGCATGCTACTCTTCACAAAATACATACTCTGTACGTGATAGGAAATCTTATAAGGTTGAGAGGCAGTTGTATCACTCAGTCACCTATGAAAATACTCTTCTCTGAAGTTGATTATGTGATACCAACAAAACCACTGAAAAACTGAACTAGACAATTAGACGATTACTGTCTTTATAAATTTAGTAATCTACCAGACTTTTTAGATGGAGATGTCTGATTGGAATAATTTAGACATAGTTCTGATAGTGGAATTTTTCACATAAGTTAAAGTGAATCTGAAAGTGATTTTGGCAGTTATAATTCATATAACAAGTTATTTCAAATAAGTTTATAAGCAACAAAGTGTGTGATAATGGAATTTTATTCCTGTAACTGGTTGATTATTAATATTTGCTGTAGTTTCTACTTAAATTATTTATAAAATATTCAACAAATGCATTGAGAAGAGAAAACAAGCAGATTTAAAGAAAAGTGCTATTCTAAGGACACTTTCTATGAGGAATACAGTAAGGCTCAAAATAACATGAAAAACAGGGAATGAGAAATGAAAAGCCAAGACCTAGCTCTTCTCCTCCATCGTATGTATGCTTCATGATGTGATTGTATTAAAACTTGCCTGATTTAACTTGATCATTTACTATCCTGTTTCATTCATAAAATATGTAAATATGATTTTTCTGCAACAACTTACTTGATAGCTATTGCATATTTAGTCAATTATTTTTTAGATTTGGAGCTACTTCATTATTAAAGCCATAAAGAAGAACAGTTAAATCTTGTAAAGAGGCCAACATTAATTGAAAGGGAAGAAATCTTTTAGAAGTTGTCTGAAAAGTTAATTTTTGCAGTTAAGTGCTCTATGTCACTTTTTAAATTTTCGCAAGCCAAAGCAAATAATAATAATAAATAATTTTCAAGTCAAGTAACTTTGTTTTCTGAGCATGATGAGTTCTTCTGTCCTATCAACAAAGAACTTGGGTACCACAATAGACCACATCTTCAAAATACTCAGATTTCACAAAATACTCAGAAACATTCTTTAAACAATTGCTTCGTCTTCTGTTGCCCTTCTCTGAAATCTGAGGGTGTGACATAAAATGCTTATGCAGTGAAAACATTTCCTTGGAGTGTTAAGTTAATACTATATTATAGATTTATTACTTACTGAAAATCCTAAATTAATGATAGTGAAGCTTAGATAAGAGAGGAATGGAGCATTAACATGTCTTTTAGGCCATCTTTCTCAAATATTAGGCAAGTTGAGTTTTCCTTTGGCAAATGCCCAATTTCTAACTCACAGATGAATTCTCTGATGAGTCCCTAGGGTCCTGTTATTCTGTACTATTGATTAAAGAGAATGTATTGAGTATTACATGCTAAATAAGCCTGTGGCAGAGTTAATATTCTGTAATAAATACTTAGGGGATGAGCATATTCTCTTCCAGATGGGTCTAAGACATTAACTAAAATGACATCATACCTGCTAACGTACTCAGACCAGTACCAAGCTCATACTCCAAAGTGTGCACCATCGAGTATGGGAAAATCAATTTGGGTCCAAAATGTCTTCAGGACGGATATTAATATAGTACTATTCCCGTGACACAAGAATTTTTGTGTGGCCCCTCTATGGATCTAATTTTAAGTAGAATTCCATTTTTTTGGCAATTCCACAAGAAAGAGTTGACTACAACATGTACTGCACCTTTGGTGCTTTTCGTAGTAACACAGCAATTCAAATTAAAAGGTCTCCCAGAAATTTAGAAAAGAGAATTTTTAAAATACATTAAAATTAAAGATTCAGCTATGGATATAAAATATTGAAATAATTATTTCTTTTATCAAGAAAATGTACAGTTCTTTACTTCCTACTGCAGAACCTATGTGGTATCCAAAATATGGACTCATGCATTAAGAGTTGCTTGTCATATTAATGAATCATAGAGGGGAAACAGGGAAGGATGTTTGATGGTTGGTGTTTTCCAGTACTCATGCCTATTGCTGCAACCGGCCAAACTACATTTTTATATAATGAAAGTATTGAGCTCAAGTAGTGATCTCATGCCTTAGCCCAGGTTTCCTAGAAAACAGAGGCAAAATGCTTATGTACTAACACTATATTAGGGAATGGAGGCACTAGAATCCCAGGGAAGTGGGAGGGAGAGAAAAAGAGAAATGATACAGGGAAAGAGGGAGGGCATGTATAAGGGAGAGCGTTCTTGAGCTGATCACAGCTGTCAGTAATACAACTTTTTGCTCAATGGCGTGCGAGGCCTCTAGAGAGGCCATATGCATTAAGAAATATTGCCTCCTGGGGAAGAAGGATGGGTATTTTCCTTCTCACTTCCTGTCTGGTCACAGGGAGTTGATTTCTTCACGCTTCCTGCTGATATTCACCAGCTCTTCCAGACAACCGCAGGGAAGCCAGGGCTGCCTTGGGCCCAGCTTGTTGAGTGTCCAAGCACCACAGTGTCTTTTTCCATCAGTGTGGGGTCTCTTGGGTGAGTGGTAGTGGTGGTAGCAGCTGACTTTCATAGTATGGTGCCAGTCCTTTCTAAGGCCATTCTGGCTCAAAAGCAAGGCAAATGGCCAAGGTTTGGAGAGAGAGGAGTTGACAGAGGTGGAGTACTAGCCCTGGTACAAGGCAGATTCCCAGAAGGCATAGTCCTCTATATTGTATATTGTAATTCGTGCATATGATTACGTGGACTTATATAGTAGATTGTATAGAAGACAGCCAGTCTTCTGTATCTGTGCTTTCTACACCCCTGGTTTCAACCAACCATGGATCTAAAACATTTTGGGAGAAAAAAATTGTATCTATCCAAAATGTACAGATGTATTTTTCTTATCATCACTCCCTAAACAAGATAGTATAATAACTATTTACATAGCATTACATTGTATTAGGTATAACAAGTAATCTAGAGAGGATTTAAAGTATATAGGAGGATGATGTGTAAATACTACAGCATTTTCTGTAA